TAAAAATGCAGATTTTAAACTCAGTTGCAGGATTAGAAGACAGAATAGAAGAACCTCTGCTGCATCTGGTTGTTTCCAGGTGTTGCACTGATCAAAAGTCATCTTCTGTGAAGTAACAGAGATCTTCTCCATGCTCTGACAGTGACCCAGCAGTTCCTACCTTACCTGCAGAGCTTTTCTCTGCTGCCTTCAGCAGAAATGCAGAGAGGACTGGAGAGGGCCCTTTCTCTCAGCCTTAGGTAGGACTTTCCAGGACAACCCCCAGTGCCTTTCTGCTCAAACTGTACCATTTCCCCATGGGATATCTTGCAATGACAGCATTGCACCATGTCTGATTTTCATGTTATCTGGGCTGTTTGCTCTGTCACAAAATGAGGTAAAGCAGGGACGTTGCTTTTTCCTGCTGCATTTTCACCTTGGTTTGGGCCAGCCTGAGCTCGATTTCCCAAGATCCTGAAGTGAATTCATCCTGCCTGATTGCAGCCCCTCCTTTCCCAGAAATCATCCTATGGGATAAGCCCAAAGTATTTCCTATCTCCCCCTTAACCCTTTTCCTTCCACCCAAGTGCTCCGTGGCCCAAGGCCTGCTCCAGAGGGCATGAATTCAGTGTGATTCTCTCATCCTGCCCCTTCAGAGGCTGTCAAAAGCCAAAAATGACAGCACTGGAGTGCCAGAAGCAAGCAAGTCACCTGCAATTTCACACCTGCCATCGCTGCTTTCATGGCAGCTGGCGAGGCGAGAAGCTGATGAAGGTCCCACTTGGCCCAGGCTGAAAGTCAAAGCAACTGTTGGGCTTTTCAGGGAATGTCCTTCCCTGAAGTAGCAAGGCAGGTAGAAAACCTGCTGGCAGCTGCCCAGGGGCATCTGCTGCCTTGCTTAGGAGGCATTTGTGCTTTTTGCACGCTGTCCTGTTCTTGGCAGTAGCTTTCCTGAGCTGGAAAAAGCACTGGCCATCATCAGCTGTGGAAACACTTTCTGGGCTGCAGATTTCTTTCTGTGGAGCCACAGCTGAACTGTATTGGCCAAGTCTGTGTCCCTTCTAAGTGAGGTTTAATAGTGCCAGGTGAGTAGCAAAAACCATCCTGAAGGTTTTGACTCCATGGCCAAATCTAACCTTCAGTTTTGATTGCTTCTTCCTACAAGTGTGCAGGAGAGAGGCCATAAACCAGGCTAGGGAGCTCCACAGGACAACTGTGCAAACGCTGTGAGAAGCAGGGCTCTGGTAGCTGTTTTCCTGCTTTTCACCAAGTTCCTGTTGCCCAGTACCAGCAGGAGCCTGTCCTGCCTGTGGCTGGGCAAGCCCAGGCTGTATTTCTCATTTGCTGTGAGTTATGGCTGCCAGGGAACTGCAGACTTCTGGGCTTCTCTGTCCCTGACCAAGAGCTCATCACAACCATTTGCTCCTCTGGGTCTGTGTGGGCTGAAGATCCCTCACCAAACACCCACCACCAGCCACACAAGAGCAGGGAGAGGAGCCAGCCCCCTGCAAGAACCAGGGGAATGCAAACAGCAGCAAGGTTCAGGACAGAAACCAGACTCACAGAGGCCCAAGAATGTTGCATTGCACAGACACTGTGTTTGCAGCCTGGCCTCCTGGCCCTAATATCCTCTGACAGCTCCCAGAGCAGGTTCTGGCCACTGGATCACGACACCAAGTCCTGTGGGAGCTGCTGCTCCAGAGTCCTTCTGCCAGGCTGCAGCGCAGCACGCGAGGAGCTGCAGGGATGTGCAGCCTCCAGAACCTGGAGCAGTGGCTTATCCTCACAAGAGAAATACTGGCCAAATGCTGGCTCCAGCCCAGTCCTTAAAAACTGGAGTTTTGGAAGGCAGCTTCAGCCAGGCCCAGGTAAATGACTGCTTGTTTGGTGGCTAATGGCTTATGAATACTGGGGGCACAAACACAATCTGTGTCTTACACCGTTTGTGTCACCAAAGAAACGCTCACCCCAAATCAAACACTGCCTGTCGGAGAATTTCAGTGGAATTTTGTTTCTAACTCCCCCAGTCTGTCAGCCTGCAGAAATGAAAAATCTGAAGCCACCCCGGGTAGCTGGGTTCATCAGGAATGTGTTAAGTTACGCCACAAACTCCATCCCCGTGCCAAGCAGCAAACACACAAAGCCGTGAAAGGACATGAGTGCCTCCCAGTTAATGTCACCTTCACAGCTTCCATAGGTCACAGCACAAGCAGACACCAAAACAAGATGCCAGGCAGAACACGGAGCCCGCTCTGAACAATGCCATGGGCCTGGGGAGAGATGAGGAATGTAAGGGATGCAGAACAACAGGAAATAAGGAAAGTCCCTCCAGCAAAGGTCCTGTGGCCCATCAGTGGCCGCTCAGCACTGCACAGGGAGCAGTGACACAATGGGGTGACTAAAGGCCTGCCTGGCAGCCAGCATTCCCAAGGCCATTGTTGCCAGCACGGGAAGGACACAGATACAAACAAGAGCTGTGTTCCCAGGCACTGGCAGAGACACATCCACTGCAAATGAAATGACTTCCTGGAGCTCCTCAAGGCCTGGATGCACCATGCCATCCTAACTGGGAAATCACATCCTGAGGCAGGAAAAACTGTGCCAGGAGGGGATAAAGAATCAAGGAACCTGGATGAGCACAGGCTGGGTTTCTGCCTGTGTGCTGGACCAACATTATTTATGAGGATAGATGTAACTTGAGAGTCGCTGCAAGGAAGGAGATCCCCTTCAGAGACTCTTTGTCTGGCCTAGGGGATATATGGGAGAAGTAGAGGATGAATCCCACCCAAATGTGATCTCACTAGAAGAGCATTGCCTCTAGAAGTCACAAGGCTTGGAGAGAGATAATTTTATAGTCTCTTTTCTGGCAATAAAGCCCCTGTAAGATCCCAGGGAAAACTGCTGGAAGCACCAGCTCTGGTCAGGAAAGGAGAAGCTGAACTGCCCTGGGCAGCAGGGTGGGATCCATGCTGGATAAGCAGCTCTCTCCAGAGGATGGCCAAGCACGTAGAGGACAACAACAAGGGCAGGCCAGGGGATCCGTGTGCTGCTTTAGCTCTCAAAACAGCTCCTGCAGGGATTCAGAGCAGGGCGTTCCAGGCTAATCTCTGCGTCCCTCAGGGAACCTGAGGATTACTGCTCTACATCTGCTCCCGGGCTGGGCCCCACCTTGTTGAGGCAGGGGAAGTGCTGACAGCCACTCTCAGCTCTTTAATCGGTTTGGGACAAACAGCAATGGGCTCTGTCCCCTGTGGGGCAGCACCTTGTGGCTTTCACATCCTCTGAAAAATCCCTTCGCCCAGGGTTTTTCTCCTGGGAAGCTGAGAGGCCTCAGAGAAAAAGGAAAACAATTCTTATCTCATTTGCTTCTCCTGTGTTGTGCTCATGTGGAATGTGTTTGGAGATTGTTTACCCACAGGTGATTGTTTCACTGGATTCTGCTGTGAGTTGTTTTCACTCTTTGGTCAATCAGGGCCAAGCTGTGTCGGGACTCTGGAGAGAGTCACAAGTTTTCATTATTATCTTTGTAGAATTCAGTAAGTATCCTTTCTGTATTCTTTAGTATTGTTTAGTATTTTTTAATATAATATAGTATAATAAAGAATAAATTAGCCTTCTGAGAACATGGAGTCAGATCCATCATTGCTCCCTGCCATGGGGACCCCTGCAAATACAACAGCACCTCTTGACTCCCTCCCTCACAGGCCTGGTGGCTTCTCTTGACCCTTGGCTGGGGCAGGAATGCCCCTCGGAGTTTGTCTGGCAGCAGCTTCAGAGCTACAGTGCAGCTTCCCTGCTGTGGTTTTGGTTTGTTAATTTGAGATTTTGTTAATTTTGAGATTTCTTGGTTAACGTACTAAAGAGCGTGGTGGGTTTGGTGTTGGTTAATTATTAATGTGTTTATTTTTTATTGTGAGATAGGATTAGGAGAAAGGTAAAGTAGGGTTCAAACTTTAAAAGGGTATAAATAAAAATGTATTAATAGTAATTAAAAGAAAGAGTAATAAGAACTGGAATAAAACACAACCAGAACAAGGCTCAGTGAGCTCCCTAGAGAAGGGCCCAGCCCCACACCAGAACCTGTCTGGCCTGGCCCAGCCAAAAAGGCCTTATTACTTGTTCCTAAGTCAGAAAAAAAAAAAAATCTCGAGTTTCTCTCATCTTTTACTTATGTTTTTCACAGAAATGTGTCTAGTTTTCTAGTAGCTAAAAGTTTTCTATCACTTCTTTAAATGTCTCCCATACAAAACCATAACATCTGGTTATCTCAGGGGCTGGCAGAGGGTGAGCCCAGCAGTGCCTGGCCACCACTGTCACCTCCCCAGGGTGGGATGGAGGTCCCAAGGCAGCAGTCAGAGCTGTCCTTTCAGCTGTAGACCCGTGATAACTCTTTCAACTTCCCAGCAGAAAGGGCTGCAAAAACCCGGGGTTTGTGCTGTTAGTTATGTACCAAGATCACCTGCTTGCTTCTCTTCCTGCTCTTCTCTCCCTCCTACACCTGCCTGCCAGGGCTCGCTGCTGGCCCGGGCACCTGAGACACGGCCCTGGTCCTTCCTCCTCCCTTTCAGACTGGGGATGCTGCTTTGGGATCGGCCCTGGCCGATCTGCTGGCACAGCCCCATCTGCTGGCTGCTATGGAAATATGGGAAGCTTCAAAGGAAATTTGGGTTGGATCTTAGGAAAAAGTTTTTTTTATTGAAAGACTGATAAAGTACTGGAATGGTCTGCCCTGGGAGGTGGTGGAGTCACCATCCCTGGATGTGTTTAAAAAGGGATTGGTTGTGGCAATCAGTGCCGTGGTTTAATTGAGCTGGTGTTAGGGCATGGGTCAGACTTGATGATCTTAAAGGTCTCTTCCACCCCAGTGCTTCTGTGATTCTCCATTAATGGACAGCCTTGCTTTTAGCCAGTATCTTCACATTCTTCTGTTGAAGCCACAAGTCACAGGGCTGACCCAAATAATTTAAATTATTCACATTTACAAATAGGTAGTGTTAAATTGAAAAAATTTTATTAAAAAATGTTACAAATAGGACAATACATATCAGGTTAAATGAGAGATTTTTAATTTATAATCATAACTTAAATATAAATTAAAAGAGAGTCTCATTTGAAGACTTTTAACAGCTAAAACAATCATATTTTCAATACATAAACATACAAATCTCAGTCTTCCATTTCATTTGTAAACATTATGCAGGCATGCAATCCTTACAAACACTTCCAATTTAGTTTCAAATAAATTCTGATCAATTGATCAACAGCCAAAGACCTACTCAAGAACAAGTATTTTATAATACATGTACAGTTAAGAGCACAGAAATATCCACAGTAAAAGCTGCTCAAATAAATACATATGTATATACACATATTACAGTACAGAATCCCACAGGGATGAGATAATTTCAGATCTACCTGCTGTGTTCAGAAACCAGAGTACCCTGTGTAAGCACTATGGTTCCTAGTGCTGTTATATTTTTTTTTTTTTTAAAGGCTTCTACCTTTTCTGGGATATGCAGCAGAAATCCAAATAATTGCCCATATCAATGTAGGCATATCTGTTGACTGGGACATCTGAAAATAAACTGACTTCCACAAACCAGATCAACAATTTCAAAGCTGTTCAGTGAATATTTTTCCATCCTGATTCTTCTTTTTCTGCAAGCATAACCCCTGTGACTCCAGAGGAGACACCTCCAGCAGTGTAGTAAGTGATGTGAAATAATGCATGTCTTCACCTCACCTCGGTACCTTTGAGTGGAGCAGAGGAGGAACCAGCCTCCTTTTTAGGCAGCAGTGCACTGTTTGCTCACCACCTGGACAGGAGATGGCAAGCTCCCAGTTCAGAGTAACTACATGGCTGAATGTAGGCAGGGTTTGGCCACAAGGCCAGAGTTCTGTGTTTGTCTTCAATGGAAATACCAGACAGCTTGAGTTCAAGATTTCTGAATCATACACGAGGTCAATCATCTTGTCATCAAAAGTTAAAAACATCTGGACAGCTGCTGATTTGCAGGCAGTTTCATTCTCCAGAAATATGAGATGTTAGTGAAGGTGGCTGCAATTCCTGCAGAGAGAACAAAATTCCTCCATAAATCAGAAAACTGGCAGAGATTTGTGTTTGCTCTCATCTCAGAGGAATTTTGTATGCAGCAGGTAGAAGAACTGCACAAAAGTGTTCCTAATGCCATTTGCAGCTGGACAGAATGCTAAGCACAATCATCCTTCAGGAGCTGAACAACCATTTCTGCAGCAATAAATCCATCAGTCTTGTTAGGAACTGCCATGCAATGCCAAGATGCATATTAGGTGTCCCAAAGCACATATTGCTGTGTCAGCAACTGTACAGCAATTAGCAGCTCTGATTGATTGCTCCTGTGATTAAAAGGAAGAGAATTTGTGAGTGAAACCATCACAGGTGCTTACCTGAAACACCTGAGTTAGACATTCTCGCCAGCACTTTGGAAACTACCTTCACTGGCAGTTTCCTGCCAGTTCCTATAAAAGAAAATTGAAAAGTACTTTAGTGACAAAGGTTTTTATCAAATGGATTTTAGCAAAATGATGACAGTGGTTTTTTTCATGTTGCTTTTTTGAGACACAACTTACCTGAAAGGAATAAACTTCTTTGCTGCAAGAAGAATAAAAAAAGGTATTAGTATTTCAAGACAAAAACCCTAATTCTTGTTGTCTAAATATTTGGGGTTGACTATTTTTTTCCTTTTTCAGATGTCCATTCAAAAGCCAAACATGGCATACATGGAGGGATTCTTGAAAATAATTTTGGAATTTATCTAAGTATGGGAATTACCACTTTTTCCCCAACCAAGGTATAGGGCTTTGGAGGTTTTGGATTGTTTTGGGGTTTTTTTGTTTTTGTTTTTTTGGGGTTTTTGGGGTTTTTTTTTTTTTTTTTTTTTATTTGGTTTTTTTTTTTTTTTTGTGTTTCTTCTACTGAGAACTTTCCAGGAAGATAAATAAAGCAGTGGAGCCAGAGCAAGAGCTCACCTTTTCTCCGGAAGCGCCTTGCAAGCCAAAGGAGGAATGATGCTGTGGACAGCAGGGAGGCAGAAGTGGCTGCTATGCCCACAGAGATGTAGCTGGCTTGGTCAGAGGCTGAAAGGATGAAAAGATTTCAGTGAGATCAAGGGGCACAGGTGGTCTTTGAAGCCCTCTCTCCTTCTCCCCTTTCCTTATGCTCTTCAAGAGGAACCAGAAGTGCAGCTTGTAACACTGAAGTTTTCTCTTGCTGAAACAGGATAGTTCCTGTATTCAAGGTAAAAAGCTGAATACTAAAAATTACCCCATCCATTGCCAAAATGGCAAGGCAAGAAGCTCCCTATACCAGGGTCTGTCTCTAACCTCCAGCCTTGCATAGCAATTTGTGCTCCTCTTATTTTTCATGTTGCAGTTCATATTTTAACTCCCTGTGTGCTCTTTCTCTTTGAGCAATCCTGCTGAGATCAATGAAATTATTCAAGGATCTAAATTTTGTTCAAGCAAATTAAAGTGGAATTGAGCTTTTAGGACCTCAAGCAAAAGCATTCCAGGCAGGCCAGGGGTGCTCCAGCTGAGGGCAGTGACAGAGCTCTTACTGCCTTGAATGAGAAGGCAAGGCTGAGCTTCTGTCCTTTGAAACTGAAGCCTCTGAGAGAAAAGCTCTGTGAGGTCTTTTGGCTGAGGAGTCCATCCAAGAAACAATCACACCAAATCAAAAAAACTATAAAATTTTCCACTAAGAGCCAGATTTATGAGTGCAGATTTCCCCACAATTCTGTTTGTCTAGAAAAGCTTTTTTCTCTATTCACATGGAAAAAAGCCCATAGTGAGGAATATTTTGTTTAAAAACCAAACAGAACAAACTGAAATCCAGTTGCAGGTTTGTTTGGTTTTGGGTTTTTTTTTTTTTTTATATATAAGAAATCAACATTTTCCACCAAGATCTTTTAGGATTTTTCCCTTCTATTTTCAAGCATGAGTGATTTTGTTGGGCTTTTGAATTCATGGACTTCTCTACAGGTTCTAGCTCACTGGTTGCTATAACCACCACTACCACCCTTCCACACCTCATCTAACTAAAAATACAGTGCCACCTCCCTGTGGCTGCTCACAGGCAAAATACCTTCACATGTGGGCAGGCTGGCACTCCAGTTTCCTGAGTGGCTGCACTCAAGAACACGAGAGCCATTGAGACTCCATCCTTCAAGGCAGCTGAAGTGGCAGGAGGTGTTGTAGGTGAACATCCCAACCCCGTGGGAGCAATCCATGGAGCCTTGCTCAGGAGAGCTCAGTGGTTCACACTGTATGACTGAAACACAAGAAGATATGGTTATTCCTGCTGTAGAGCAATGAAGTATGCAAGAAAAAAAAATCAAGAAGTTCCAAGCAAACAAATAGTGAAATTTTTATATCATTTCCCGTGGTTTGCTTGCACAACTAAGGGCTTTCCTGTCTTTGGCTCAGTTTTTTGCACTAGTAGATGTACAATATATTTTCAAATTTATTTTCAAATTTACAAAGATGTACAATAAATTTTCAAATTTATTTTCATTTGACTTTGGGATGGGAGCTGCTCAGAGCCATGAGTAGGTATTCCAATGCACAGCTGAAAATATGGGAGCAGAGTTTAGTTTGGAGCCAGGGCCCTACAGGAATATGGATTTCTGTGTGTTCCCCAGTGACCAGAAAACTGCAGTTTCCAGCAGCGAATGGAAACGTAAACCCGTGGCCGAGTGACCACTGTCCCTGTGCCGTGCACTCCGTGCTGGGTGAGCCCTCCAGGACATATCCCTCGGTGCACTGGAAATCGCAGCGTGAGCCAGAGGTGAGCTCTGCAGGAGCGTGGTCACAGCTCACTGAGCCTTCTGCTGGCCGCGGGACAGCCTCACACCGCACAGCTGCAGCACAGGGAGCACAGCAATCAGCACCGCTGCTTCAGGACAACACCACGGCAGGGCTGGCAGCCCTGAGGGCTCGGCTGGGCAGGGATGAGGAAATTACCTGCACACGTTGGCTGCTGCCTGTCCCAGGCCCCTGAAGAGCCGCACTGCAGTGTAGCTGGTCCTGTCAGGGTAAATCCTTCCTCACAGGTGAACTCACAGGTGGTTCCCCAGGTGAGCTGCACCGAGGGATGGGAGCAGTTCACAGCCCCGTGGACAGGCGTTTCCAAGGCAGGACAGGTCACAGCTGAAAGGCACAAGAGACAGCACAGAGCTTAGCGTGGAGTAGGTGAGGATAAACAAACACTCTTCTAGGAGCTGGCAAGAAGACATGCCATGCCTGGAGCTATCCCCTAGAGAGCCATCACACCTCCCTTCAGACCTAGCAGTGTCTCACAAACAGAGATTTCAGCAGGTTGCACAGTGTAGCCAGAACCCTTAATTCTGCACCCAAAGCGTACAAGTCATCCTGGGAATGGTTCCAGATTATTCTCCACCCTAGACTGTATAAACTGACACTTGTTCCCATTTGGGGTTTAGGGAATAAAGAATCCCTGCCACAACACTCCATTGTTAAAGTGTTATTGTGTGTGTTGGGGACACTGCCCCAGAGTGTTGTTTGTCACCCCACTGTTTCCCCACTAATACACGAGGCAAAAAGACCCCACCTTGGGATCTGCTCAAAAAAACTGGTGGGGATGAATGCTACTCTTTTATTACATCTGATTGAGAAAGTCTCTTCAGATTCTTCCAACTTTAATCAATGGCTTCCAACCCAGCAAGTCTTACCTTTGCATTTGGGCACCGGCTCTGACCACTGTCCCTGTGCCGTGCACTCCGTGCTGGGTGAGCCCTCCAGGACATATCCCTCGGTGCACTGGAAATCGCAGCGTGAGCCAGAGGTGAGCTCTGCAGGAGCGTGGTCACAGCTCACTGAGCCTTCTGCTGGCCGCGGGACAGCCTCACACCGCACAGCTGCAGCACAGGGAGCGCAGCAATCAGCACCGCTGCTTCAGGACAACACCACGGCAGGGCTGGCAGCCCTGAGGGCTCGGCTGGGCAGGGATGAGGAAATTACCTGCACACGTTGGCTGCTGCCTGTCCCAGGCCCCCGAAGAGCCGCACTGCAGTGTAGCTGGTCCTGTCAGGGTAAATCCTTCCTCACAGGTGAACTCACAGGTGGTTCCCCAGGTGAGCTGCACCGAGGGATGGGAGCAGTTCACAGCCCCGTGGACAGGCGTTTCCAAGGCAGGACAGGTCACAGCTGAAAGGCACAAGAGACAGCACAGAGCTTAGCTTGCGACAAACCATTTAAAGTTTTTTTTCTTTTCTGAAACTTAGCAACACATCCACTAAACAGGAGCAGCTTTAGAAAGGGGTCTACTTTGCCACCATCTCAGAAAGCAGACAGATGGAGAAATATTTTGAAATGAGAAGCTGGCTCTTCAGGCAAGACTGTTAATTCATCTGCAGCTCGTGACAGCGACTATTTACAATCCAAAATTTCCCTATTTTGACTGCTGCTGAGTGACCTTTGTTGCTTTTACTTGCTTAGAAAAAGATCTCATTCTAAGCCAAACACCTCGGAAAATGATTCCTACAGTCAGGAGTAACTGGCCTGTTGAGAGCAGTCTCACAGCTAGGTCATCTCCATTCCCTGTTTCCACCTAAGAGTTGGAAAAGTCTTTCCCTGCAAGGAACAAGACCAGAACATTCATCCTACTCATTTCACCTCCTCAGGATCAGAGACCTCTGTGCTGAAATAAAATAGCACCTACACCACGTAATGTGTTACAGAGGAATTGACCAAACTTCCATGTCTACCTACTGCCTGAGGTGTGCAGGGCCATGTGCAATGCAACAAGCTCACCTTTGCATGCTGCAAGGGGGGCAGACCAGATTCCAGAAGAGGTACAGTGGACAGACTCCAGTGCAGTCAGCTCATAGCCCTCCTCACACTGAACTTTGCAGGATGAGTTGTAGTTGAAGTCCCCCAATGGATGGTGGCACTCAAGGCTCCCATGATCAGGTTTCTTTAGTGGATCACAACTCCTAACTTCAAGAAAGCACAAGAAGGTACACAGTCAGTCTCTTTGGCTGAGCAGGTAAACCAAGAAGCCAAACTGAACACTATCTAGCATGAATTGGTCAAAAAGCAGGATGAAATAATCTTACCAAACTCGCATTCAGGCCCATAGAAGCCAGGGTTGCAATGGCAGGTGTGGTTGTTGATAGTCTCTATGCATTCTCCATGGCCACTGCAGAGAGATGGGTTGCAAGAAGCTGGAAAAAAAAAAAATAAAGCAAGTTATGAAAGGATCAACAACAGCCACTAAGAAAATCTGGCTAGCACTTTGTTTATCTTTCTGACACTAAACAAGCTCTTTGTATAGCAAAAGAAAATCAGAGGGTTTGGTATTTAGGATTATCCTGTCATTTCACAGCAGAATTTCTGAAATGCACACCTTTTACAGACTAGCTCACAGTAAAAGGATTCTGCTGGCTGGAAACTCCAAGACCACTTGTTCTGAGTTAAATATTAGATGAAGTTAAATAACTCATCCCAACCACCACCTCGGCTCCCCAGCGTCACACTGGAGTGACCTTTATCACTCTGTACCTGTGTAGCACAAGGCAACCTTCTTCTTCTCACACTGCTCATCATTCCATTTGCCATCATCCTTCCCTCTTTTGATGTAGATCTCAACGCAGTCCTCGTTGTTCCCTTTGCCATTTGGCTCCCCTGAAGCCCAGTTTCTTGCTTCTTCTGTCAGTTCTTTGTTAGTTCCAGTCCAGGTCCACACACCATTAATTTTTCTGATTCCAATCCAGTAGTAACCCGGATTGAAGGGCAAGAAGGCATTGAGATGCTTGATTTCCTCCTTGTTCTGGATGGCAACCAGGTTAGTATACTTCTTTCTGCACCACAGCTCTGCTTCCCTGTAGGTCATGTTTGTGTCTGAATAATGGTATGTCCACCCATTCACCCCCTGCAGCACTGTAAGTCCTAGAACGAGAAGATATCCAAAAGTTGGTGTCTGACTTCTCCCCTCCTCTCTCTCTAGAAGAGGACATTTAAGCTCTATAAATACTGCAAACTTATCAGTATTTGACATAAAAACTAGTGGTAATTATTTTATAAACAACCACCTGGCAAGCTTCAAACTGGGCAAGTCAGCTTCAAGTACAGGACTTGAGCCTGTGGAACTACACCTGATCACACAAAGCTTTCAGACTATAGGAGCCAATTATGGCTTTGACAGGCAAGCAGGGAAAATGTGCCATTGCATCCAGAGGTTATTCTGTGTGAGCACAGCCTCAGGTTAATTAGGGCAGGTTCAAAAATTCTCTTTGATGCTGAGCTCAAAGAGAACTGTCACACTAATATTGCCATCCCACCAATTTTCTACACAGAGAAATACACACTTACCATAGGTAAGAAGAGATAGGAACTGCAAGCAAATCATGTTTCTGAGAGTTTTCTCTATCTTTTAAGCAGGTGGCTATGAGAAATCAAAGAAACACATTTGTAAAAAACAAATGAGTCAAAAATCCATATAAACTACTGTCATGCAATTTTTGCTATGTACTTTTAAACAAGTAGGATTTCCACAAATTATTAATTTAAAAACTGTTTTTAATATCAAGATACTTTAAAATGTAAGCAGCTTTTAAGGAAGATGAACACATATTTCCAGCTGTCCAGTTCTCCTTTAGGTGGGCAGTGAAACAGAATAGCAGAGTCCATTTCTACTCACATTTTGTAGCTGAAGTGTCCTGGTGACAGAATTCTTCCGCACTATTGAAGGGCAAGAAGGCATTGAGATGCTTGATTTCCTCCTTGTTCTGGATGGCAACCAGGTTAGTATACTTCTTTCTGCACCACAGCTCTGCTTCCCTGTAGGTCATGTTTGTGTCTGAATAATGGTATGTCCACCCATTCACCCCCTGCAGCACTGTAAGTCCTAGAATGAGAAGATATCCAAAAGTTGGTGTCTGACTTCTCCCCTCCTCTCTCTCTAGAAGAGGACATTTAAGCTCTATAAATACTGCAAACTTATCAGTATCTGACATAAAAACTAGTGGTAATTATTTTATAAACAACCACCTGGCAAGCTTCAAACTGGGCAAGTCAGCTTCAAGTACAGGACTTGAGCCTGTGGAACTACACCTGATCACACAAAGCTTTCAGACTATAGGAGCCAATTATGGCTTTGACAGGCAAGCAGGGAAAATGTGCCATTGCATCCAGAGGTTATTCTGTGTGAGCACAGCCTCAGGTTAATTAGGGCAGGTTTAAAAAGTCTCTGATGCTGAGCTCAAAGAGAACTGTCACACTAATATTGCCATCCCACCAATTTTCTACACAGAGAAATACACACTTACCATAGGTAAGAAGAGATAGGAACTGCAAGCAAATCATGTTTCTGAGAGTTTTCTCTATCTTTTAAGCAGATGGCTATGAGAAATCAAAGAAACACATTTGTAAAAAACAAATGAGTCAAAAATCCATATAAACTACTGTCATGCAATTTTTGCTATGTACTTTTAAACAAGTAGGATTTCCACAAATTATTAATTTAAAAACTGTTTTTAATATCAAGATACTTTAAAATGTAAGCAGCTTTTAAGGAAGATGAACACATATTTCCAGCTGTCCAGTTCTCCTTTAGGTGGGCAGTGAAACAGAATAGCAGAGTCCATTTCTACTCACATTTTGTAGCTGAAGTGTCCTGGTGACAGAATTCTTCCGCACTGCTTCCCAGAGACTGTGGCTAAGTGGATGAACTCAGCCTTGAAAATCAAGTTCAGCTCCAAGTGTCTGGACTCTGAAATGCTCTGCCTTTTATTCTCTCAACTAGCCTGCCCTCCACGAGACGGGAAATTCCGTATGGAAAAAAATTTCTTGGAAAATCCCAGGATCTGGGCCTCCCACACGTCAGGACGGATGTTTCCCCTTGCCAGATTAACCCTCCCAGAGACGCACTGTGCTGACAGAGTGCCAAGTGCCACATGACAAACTTTTACTGACAGAAACACACAATTCCAGGATATCAAGGAGGAGGAGGATAATTAGATGGAATTAAATGCATGAATAAGCAGGTTCCAATATTTCACCTGGCATAATGTTTTGCAGTAAGGAGGCGTCAGTTCTGATATCTCGGTAGGAAAGGCACCAACACTCAAAGCTGGTTAACCAAGCTGGATAAAAATGGGAACTGCAGCACAGGACAAGCCCTTCCTTATGGATCTCAGCTGTGCAGAGCTCTCATTTGTGGTCAGGTTTGTCATCCCCAGGATTGCTGAAACTCTTCACAAGGTTCACTTGTAGCAGTCAAGCTTGAAACATGGACCTTGCTTTGAAGAGTCCCTTGGACCATATTCTTCAATGTCCTGATCTCAATGGAGTTACAGCACCTGAACCAGTGCATATAATATTTCAGGAGGACAAGGCAATACACTAGGAATTCATGCACATTTTTTGTGTATACCCTGATTAATTATACTGCTGCATAAAGCTTCACTGCTATGGATGGGATTTAATGAGGCTGAACATGCAAAGGACTCAACAAGTGCTGGCAGCAATAGGAGGCCACAGGGTAGCCACCTAATTCATATCTGTAAAGCATAGTAGGAGTTTATACAGTGCATGTTGGAGCTCTGATTCTGGAGCCTCAGCCTGTTCTTACAGAATAAAAATCAATGGCTTCTGGATTCCAAACTAACATCAATGGTATCACCCATTTTTTTCACAAAAAAGAAAGAACTGCCAAGTAGCCAAAGATCTCTGCCCATCAAAGAAATTCTCTCAGAAAAGAGCATGGAATAAAGAGTATATTCTAAAACAGCCTCAGTTACTAGCAAATCTGGAGAGTTGACTAGAAATTGCAACAAAGTCTTAGAAAGCAAGTCATTTACTGAAGAGACTGAGGATTAAAAACAGCACACAATATTTGTAGGCAGAGGAACACTTTCTAGTAGGCATTCACACCTGCTAGAAAGTGTTCCTCTGCCTACAAATATTCACAGGAACAATTTCTAGCAAAGCTAGAAATACAAATGGACAATCAAGAAACTCTGGGAAGCTGAGGTTAGCTTTTGGCTGGTCTGAGCAAGCCTTGCTTAGAAGCACCAGACATTCTGAGGCTTCCAGGCAGCATCAGATCAGGGCTGCTGTTTATTTAGCCTCAAACTGGCAATGAAAACTCTTTCTGTTTGACAGCTCTTCTCTGTTAGGAGACTTCACCCCCTGAAGGACACAGACAGAAGCTCGCATTTTAATGCACCTGTACAGCACATTATGCAGCAGGGCCTAATTTTAACATTATTCTACTACAAACTAATGTTAATCAGTCTTGATAGGGCAGGTGTTTGGGGTTTTTTGGTTTTTTTTTTGGTTTTTTTATTGTCTTAAACATTGATCAGCTGTTACAAGTGTATGCACAGATAATTTATAGACAACTCCAGGAGAATTTTTATGCTCCCCGGCACCAAAAGGCAGAAAATGCTACACCTTTTCCTGGAGATTCCCTTTCCCAAGTCATTTAATGAGCTTCCTACTGGTAAGCACTCATCCTTGTCATGGCAGAAACTCTGAAGAAAGCTCTGAGGAAACTTCATCAGAATTCATTTGCCAATGGAATCTCCGGAGGAAGGAAGAGCTTATTTCATAGTTTAAAGTAGTCTTCCTTTGCAGGGGCTGTCTGAGACCTCTTGTCTGCAGCAGATAAAGAAAGCCCCACAAAAAATAACAAAACACCAAAGCCTACAAGCAATATGCTTGTAAAAACTCCAGCCTAAAAAAAGACTTGTTTCTTTTTGTTGGCTGTATTCCCTTGTGCATCATTGCCATGGGGCTCTTTTTGGTTTTTCCCAGGGAATTCTGCTATCCACTGATTATATTCTTATTTCTCTGTAATGTACTGGAAGATGAAGGCAATATTTTCAGGAAAAAAGAAAGCCTGAAAATCATTCTCAAAAACCCACAACAGAAGTTAAAACCTCATTATTAAAAGTGAAAGGCACTTAAAAACTTCAGGGGGACTGGAATTCCTATGAGCTAAAGCTCATCTTGGATGCTAAACTACATTTATATTTCAGGGAAAATACCTGTGATACCGTTTGTTAGGTTGAACTGGAAATAATCAAGCTAAAAATGCCATTTCTGATTTCTGTGTTACTTATTTACTCTCTTCTCAAAGTTATTTCACATTCATGCTTTTTTAATCTCTTGCCATTTGATTTGGGAGTGTAAGATCCTTGTTTCTGGCTGTACAGAGCTGGATGAAGCTGTGGCGCTCTTATTATGCTACATAAGCACAGATGCAGTTCCTTAAAATTAATACAATTCCCCTCTGCCAGAAAAACAGGAGACTCTAAAGACAAGTTTTTAAAATTGCTGAACACTTCTTGTTCCTATACACTCCAGAATTTCACTTGCACAAGTGAAGGCCCAGCTTTTTATAGGGAACTCTCCAGTTCACCCCTTTTCCCTTACAAACAGAGGTGCACTGACAATTATGTAGCCACAACTAATTTTCCAGTTGAAAGGTTCACTTAGGAGGCCACCATGAGACATAAAGGGTAAGAAAGGGCTATATAAACATATTAGGAATAAAACAAATAAAATCCAGCCAGGTCTGCCATTTAAAGGACAGCAATTGACAGAGGACATGTCAAATGTTATTTCTTTCTATATCAAGGAAAGTTAATATTCACTGCAATAGTGTGGGAAAAGAGAACAGGTTGGATTATGGAGTGAAGACTGTTTAGGTTGGTTACAACCAATCAAGCTACAGTTAAAAGATCCAAACCCTCAGTAATAACTTTGAGAATATGAGCAAGAAGGTATAAAAAGGTGGACAAGAAGCAAATATTGCCTCTCTGTACCTGAAAAAAGAAGATCAAGGTAATTAGAAGCTGGGCCTTCCATGTGAGCACCTAGAAAAGACACTAGAACATTGAAAAATGTTAAAGAAAACCATTGAAAAATCAGCAGAAGGTTGTGAGGCTGTCAAGAACAGCTGACATTGATGTGATTGATCTGTTCCTGGCAGATGAACCTGGCTTGTGCCTCAAGGCTGTGTCAGTAATAAAGAAACAATAGTGCACTGTGGTTTGTTATAATTAAGATTTTTAATATCGTCCCATGAGACATTCTTATGAGGAAACAAGTGAAACAATGCTTAGCTGAAATCACCATGAAATGAGCACACAAGGGATGGAATCACTACTCAAAGGGCAGATTTTCAAAGAGCCCTGGCTGTCCAAGAGAACTCTTTCATTCCCACCTCACTGTAAAAAAGGGTGCTGGAGGAAAGAAATCTTTACAAACTTCTAAAACCCAAAAGGTGTTTTAGAGAACATAGGAGTCACGTGATCAACAAAGTTTCACATCCACTTGGTGCATAACAAGTAGTGGTGGATTGATCTGTAGGACAAACTTTCAATTAAAAGTTTTCCAGAAGCCATGAATTGCTAAAACAGGGGTTTTGCAGAGTCTGCCTTTCTGTTGGGAATTTCTAAGTTTTGGTTTGAGAAACATTTTTTCAGTATCTCAAGAAAATGTAATGCAGTGAAAATTTATTTTGCTTTATCTGAAACTCTGTTGGACTTGAAGAAATCACAAATCCAAGACAAATACAGAATGTGGTGGGATCCCAGGTAAGCAGAGTATATAGATGTACTTAGTATATATAGAAAAAGACAGAGATTAATTTCCCAGGTCCTTTTTAAAGACTGTTCTTTATCTACATTATTGCATCTGCATTTACATATCAACAGACAAAAATAGAGCTTTAAGTGCCTCTGAGAAATCCAGTCCCATCTCTCCCAGAAGTTATTTTTGTCATTCCTAAATTAAAACCCTTGATAAGTATTTATTTCAAAGTGCTTTGCATAATGGACTTTTGTCCCATGGCAAAGAGTCATAGAACCACTTGAAATTTTGAAATAGTGGAACAACCTCCAGCTTCAACCACAGTAATACTAGGAGAGGAAAAGTAAGAGATTTAGCCAGCCTGGAGGGGGGAAAAGGAGTTCTAGTGCCAGTAGTGAAGGTGTTTCCTGTTTGGAGAGGAGCTTGCAACACTTAATTCTTTATAAATTAAGAGACAAAGGGTTTAAGGCACAAGTTTTCCCTGAGGTCCAGATGGGAAGAAAAGATAATTTCTGAAAACATACTCATCCCTCAGCCTCTGTGTCTGATTAAGTGTGAATAAGGTAGGCAATGCAACTGCTACAAAGACAGGACAAAGACACTGGAATTTCTCAAGGCTGCCTAAGGCAGTCTCCACTCTGTCTGGAGTGGAACCCCAGGAGTCAGAAAATCTTATCTCCACTTCTCATTTCGGGAATTCTGATGTGACTCATAGTGCTCAATTTCCTCCAACCAGGCAAAAAATACACATTGAAGAATTCGACCTGAGGCTGGGGGTCACTTGCACTGGCCAGGTGTGATTCAGAGCATTGAAACATGAAACATGAGGAGAGGAAACAACAACTCTCACCTCGAGGTAAGATAAAAGCAGGACTGGCCTTAACATCACACACTGGCTGCCTGCAAGTGGAACTGATCCCATGCAGAACTTGATTCTTTCTAATTCCACTGTTGGAATATTGTATTTGTGGGGTTCCCAGACGAAGGGAAGAATGATGAATCTGACTCCATGTTCTTAGAAGGCTAATTTATTATTTCATGATACTATATTATATTAAAGAACACTATACTAAACTATACTAAAGAATACAGAAAGGATACAGACAGAAGGATAAAAAGATAATGATGAAAACTCGTGAGTCTTTC